ATTCATTCATTCACTATAATGTATATCTAACTGTAGAACCTGATGATGAAGTTATCGAAAAGAGTATTCTTTGTTCAATAACCATTATTTTGAAAATTTTAATCGGCATTTTTAATCAGTTAATATATTTATTTGTTCATATTACTATATTACTGTCTGATTACAAAACGGCTCCCCGGCTGACACACTCCTTCGCCTCCCTAAACCAGTTATAAGACTGGCAAAGAGGGAAGGTTGGGGGAGCATGAGACTAGCAACCCCATCCCGTAAAAATAAGCACGACTGTTACCACCGAAACTTCAAGCCTCTAGCTTGAAGCCCTATGTTCCACTGGGTAGGAACGTAAAGGAATAAAAATAAGGTTTAAGACTGTAAATCTTTCCTGTCCCACTGTGCAGCTGGTGAATTACTTCCTAAGTTGTTTATCTTTTTTAAAGTCAGTCATTCTACGCTTCTTCAACTTTGTATGCTTCTTTGACCTACTTGACCCCGATCTACACGAAACACATGCAACATTGTTACCAGAGAGATATAGAAAATACTACTGTGGTGAGAGCTGGCTGTTGGCCAAAATTTGTAGACAGTAATTTATTTCAGTGTTTACGCCCCCAATATTGGTCGTGAGAAAAATAAGAACAAAGACTGATTCAACAAACAATCACAGCAGACTTTGCGTAGGCGGATACCATTTGCAGAACTTCATCTGAACTTCAAGAAACGCTCACAGAGAGATGAAAGATTAACGTTCAGCGAGAAACCACCAATCAGAAGACTGTGTTTGTTTGCTTACAATAATCTATAATAATGTACATGAAAATCTATAAATATCTGTTGATTTCCTAAATAAGCTAGCTATCTGTTGCCTGGCCCTTGTCGTCTGTTGTTACAATACTACCAACAGAATCAAATGATAAGGAATGATTGTAATATATCAACAAACTTTGAAGGGCACATGACCATCTTGATTTAATTAATATTATTTTTTATTATATTATGAAATTGTACTCTATCATAGTGTCTAAAATTCTATTCATATATCAATGAAACGTAAGAATATTTATGGACGAAGAAGAAGGCTTCTGAATGCTTTTTTAATTTTTGTTTCAATTAAGGCCGAAATCTTATATAACCTCAAGATTGTGTAATTCAATGAAGATAATCAAGTTCTCAATTCCACTAGGACCAGTTGTCCATTTTATCAATATACAATCTGTCAAAATACTTATCCATGCTCGTTTTTTGTTGCATTTTGGACTTATCAACTGGAAGTGCCTGAAGCATACTTTGGATCCTCCTGTGAGTCACCCCCTTTAAAATAATATCAGGTTGAGGTTGAAGGTATCATAAAGACATTTGTTCTAGGAGGAGATATATTAACACGGACCGATAATTTGGGTACATGGTGATAAAAATAATATTAAAACTACCAGTAAAAGATATTATTTAACAGATGATACCAGTAACGACAGAAGACAAGGGCCAGGCAACAGATAGTTTGTTGACGAAATGAAGACATATTTCTGTTAATGGGTTTCGACAGGAACATCGGGCTTTAGAAGCGTATCTGTAACGACAGAAGACAAGGGCCACGCAACAAATCGTTTATTGTAAATTATTATCAGCGTTATTGTTAGCAGAGAATCAACGTCTTCTGATTGGTTGTTTTCTTGCTCAAGGTTATTCTGTGATCTCTTTGTTGCCGTTTCTTAGACAGTCCGTTGATGTATATCTGCTAATCATATCCGCCCACGCAAAGTCTGCTGTGATTGGTTGTTGAGTTAGTCTTTGTTCTTGTTTTTTTTCTCATGACGCTGATTTGGAACGCAAACATTAACGTAAATTGCTGTCTACCACTTTTTTTTGGCTATCAAACAGCTGTCAACACATACCTAATGATGGAATCAAGGATGCTGATTTCGTCCTGTTTGCGAGTCATCAGACGGATGTACTTACAATCCCTAGTGACTATTGTTTGCTTTCTCCACTGAAAATAAAACCTAGCATTCGTCGTTTCAGTCGCCCACTTAGCTTAGTAGATAGCGCCTTAGCATTTGAAGTGATGAGTGGTGGGTTAGAGTTTCAGTAGGAACTACACCACTCATCGGGAATCGCAGGCATATCCAGATGAAGAATCCCCACGAGGACGAAATGAGCATTCAGGATCCTACTGTTAGTTACCATCCTAACATCCTAGGATATCGTCTAAGAGTCCATACTAATTACTGATTTATCAACAGAGATAGGACATTTCAGCCCACCATAATCAATCAGTCAGACTGCTTCATGGTGAGTCTGAAGAAACGACATCTTAAAATCAACAATGGACAAATTGCTGCTGTACAAAAGATACGTCGATTACACTTTTATAGTTTATCAGAATGATTCCGATTTATCTTACAGGAGAAGAACATGAAACCAAGGCCAAAAAGAGAAGAATACACTTCAGTGCCAAAGAAAACATTTTATTTGAATCTGGAATTTAGTGGAGACCTAGCAACAGATATCTTTAAAAGGAGAATCTCCAATTCCCTGAAGAAGACTTTTCCGGCAGCAACTCTAAGAGTGATATTCTCTAGCCGCTCACTACATTGGAGTAACGGGAAGGACAGACTTCCGCATATGACCACTTCAATGTGCATATTATCAGTCTACCTGCTCTTGCGGAGCTAGGTACATGGGTCGTTCTAAGCAGGTCTAATCAAAACGTGTTAGAGAAAATCATCCAGCATGTCTGAAAAGGGGAGGCACTGGTTCAATCAGAAGCGCCATAACTGAACACCTCGTCAATAACCTGTCACAAAATCTCAACTGACTCCTCCATCATTCAGAGTCATTTACAAAGTAAACAAGAATCTACCAAAGACCGTGTGTTTCTGACTACTTTGTACTGCGGAAGCTCTCGCCATATGCATCGAAAAGACGGAGCTATGTGTTCAAAAGAAACTAGTCCAGCCTTTACAACTACCATGAACCTAGTTCGGTATGTTCCGTTATCCTTCAGTTTTTTTTGTTTTGTTCTCTCTGTGTAATTTTCTCTCTTTGTCTTCATTCAATTCGTCCCACTTTTCTCAGTTATAAAATCTATTATTTTAAATTTGTTTCCGTGCTCCTTCTGATCACACTTGTAATTCATTTGGAATAACTATTTTACAATTATGTTCTAATCCTGTGTAATTTTTTTCTTTCTATGCCTCTTGTAATTCATATCAAGTTGAAAATAATCATCACCTTTTATTCGCCTTTAAAATTATTTCTCCAGTTATCAAATATTAATATTGCATACGTTGTAACTGTTTTCTAATCCTATGCAATCTTGTCTCTAAGCCCCTTGTAATCTACATTCGTACCTTCAAAACTTTCATATCAAGTTGGAAATTATTATATCCTTCGTTACTATTTGGAATTAAATAAATTATAATAGTTGTATCCATGTAAACTAATGTATATAAATGCGATTCTGCAGCTGCTTTTGAGGATGAAGTCGCCGAAAAGATCGGCATCTTTGCTGAACTTCCTGTTCTTTTCAATCTACAGTCTCGATGGGTATTTTCCATGATTTGCCGAATCAAGGATGCTGATTTCGTCCTATTCGCGAGTCATCAGACGGATGTACTTACAATCCCTAGTGACTATTGTTTTTCCCTGACTGGGAATCAAACCTAGCATTCATCATTTCATCCACCCACGTAGCCTAGTAGATAGTGCCTTAGCATTTGAGACGATGAGTGTTGGTTTTGGAGTTTTAGTGTGAATAATATCACCCACCGTGGATTATACGTATATTCAGATGACGAATCCCCAGTAGGACGAAGTGCGCTTTGCGGATCCTACTGTAAATCACCATCCTGACATCCTAGGACATCATCTAAGAGTCCATACTAATAATTGATGTATCAACAGAGACAGGACATTTCAGCCCGCCATAATCAATCAAAGAAGAATCAGGAAATTCCCTTGAAGTGACAATAAATGACATCTACTATAGTGTCTATACGCCAATATGAGAAAATAACAAATACACTATTTTTACTAACCCGCTTATTATCACCAATGATATTCCTAATTGTGGTGGACTGGATCATGCGTCAGACAGTGAGAAACGAGAAGACAGAGATATCCCGGACCGACGTGAAGAACCTAGAAGACCTGGATTTCGCGCGTGGATGATTTGTGTTTGATGTCACACAAGATCGAAGACTTACAAGCGAAAACCGACAAACTGGTCGAAGAAGCAGCAAAGGCAGGACTCCAGGTGAACATAAACAAGACGGAGGTTATGAAAATAACCAAACAACAACAACAACAGCAGCAGCAATATCCAGCGCCAATCACCATCAACGGGAGGGATTTGAAAGAGTTGACTTCATTCACTTATCTAGGGAGCATTGTCTCAACTACATGAGGAACGGATGAGGATGTCAAATCGAGAATCAGAAAGGCGAGAAACACATTCATCAACCTGAAACCAATCTGGAAATCTTCGTCACTCAGCATCAACAACAAAATTCGGATTTTCAATACAAACGTCAAGTCAGTCAGTTTTGCTATACGGATCAGAAACTTGGCGTGTCACAAAGAATATTTCCAAAAGCCTGTTGCAGACCTTTGTCAACAACTGTCTTCGCCCTATACTGAAGATCAGATGGCCGGAAAGAATCAACAACAAGAAACTATGGGAACAAACAAAGCAAGAACCAATCGCTGAACAAATATGCAGGAGAAAGTGGAGATGGATTGGACACTCGCTGAGGAGGCCGCTGGGTGACATCGCGCGTCAGGCCAATGCTCGAGTGGAACCCGAAAGGGAAGCGTTTAGTGGGATGTCCAAGGGTGACATGGAGGAGATCGTGTGGTGAGGAACTGAAACAGTATAGATTAACATGGATGCAAGTGAAAAGTACAGCGGAAGAGAGAAGCAAGTGGAGGCGTGCAGTTGAAGCCCTATGTTCCACTAGGAACCCAAGGGAACAATAATAATAAATATAATAATTTTTACTAACCTGAGCTTCAGATAAAGCTTTTTGTTCTTTTTGTCGAGTTATTGTCAATATTTCATTCATATTTCTTGAATTTTCACGTTCTTCTTCCAGCTGTTCTTTAATTTGTTCCAGTTCAACTTCAAAATCATCTAATTGAGCTCTTAACTGATCATTATCTAAACGTTGTGAATTGATTTCACGTTGTAAATTGGATTTTTCTGTTTCACAACGTGCTAGTGTATCACGTATACGTGATATTTCTGTTGTAAGTGTATCAATTTCTGCTCGAGATATTCTTAATTGTTCATTGGCTTCAACTAATGAACGAGATGTTGCATTACTCTGAAATGTAGAAAGTATATATATATGTATATATATATATATCATATTATGTCTTAGCTTGTAAAAAAAGACAACAGAGTTTTCTCTTTTTTACGAGTTGATCACGGACTGATATCAGTTAGAGAACCATTGAAAACCAGTACTGGAATACTGGAAAGCTGTTTCTCCTGGTTTGGGAATCATCGGCAGTATCCACCCACTGCCAGGGGTCGAACCCAGGACCTTCCGGTTACAATGCAAGCTAGCTCGTATACTATTCAGACATTGAAACCCGATTCAGTGACCCATGAATTCTAACTTCTACCCAGTGGATGCGTACTGATGATGATCCCCGAACTAGGATGAAACAGCTGTCCAGTACTTCCTGTGGCTGGTTTTCAATGGTTCTCTAACTGTGATATCAATCCGTGGTCAAACTCATAAAAACAAATCTAATCCTTACAAACCAACTATTGAAAAATAGTACGTCGAGAATTGCTATCCAGAAAGATTTATTGCAAAATCTATGAATCCTAGACCAGAAAAGCCGCCTATACTCAGCGTCAAGAAAAAACTACTCTACATGAACCTCCAATTCAATGGAGATCTATCTGCGGAAACACTAAAAAATCGACTGTCGCGCTCACTTAAGAAGACCTTCTTCGCAGCTGAACTACGACTAACCTTCTCCACAAAACCTATGATTCATGTGAATGTGAAGGACAAGCTACCGCTGCTGGCCTCATCAATGTGCATTTATCAATTCACCTGCTCGTGTGGAGCCAGGTATGTCGGCCGTACCCAGCGCTCGCTTTCCAAACGTATCACCGAGCACTTACCAGCATGGTTTTACAAAGGAGAAAATCGATGCCCCCGCAGTTCCATCTTAGAACATCTGATAGAATCCGGACACCAAGCTACACTGCAAACAAACTTCAAAGTCGTCTACAGAGTAAGAGGTGGTCTCCCTAAAGGTGTACGAATCAGACTTCTTCAAACTGCAGAAGCAATGGCGATTCACTTGCTAAGTCCTGAACTCTGCATACAGAAGAAGTTCGTTCAATCGCTACACTTGCAATGGACGTAATCTATCTTATTAGCCGACATGTAAATTCTACCTAATCTTTTCTTCTGTCTCTTCATTGGTATTATTTTGTCTTCTCAATTGTAACATTTTACATTTTCAACTTTCTTGTTCTCTACCCCCATCCGATTCAATCTCTACACCCCACTACCACTGTTACTGACTTGAACAACGCTCAGTTTCTAGTCATTCATGTTACGTCATCCAACTTATTCACCCAATTTCACTTCTACTTAATCTCTACCTGTAATTACCTCTGTTGCTATCCTGACCTAAGTTGTAATATTTTAGCCAATTGTGTTACGTCATCTAGTTTTTTAACTCAGTCTTACTTTAGTTGCTGTCTGATTAACTTTGTCTGTATACTACATCATTCTTGTATTAACTAATCAGTTATCTAAACTTGACAAACCTCATGTACACACACACACAAATATTTATATATAAATGCGATTGTACAGCTATGTGAATGAATTCGCCGAAAAGAGTCTCTTCACTGAATGTCTTCTCTTTTTCAATAAAATTAACCACAGGAATTTCTCCACATTTACACTGTTCAGTCAAAAATGTGCAAAGTACAAAATGAGAACAATAACCAAATAACCAAATCTTGAAAAAAATATATATCTATGTATTTTATGAAGTAATATCAGTTACAGAGATAATGAAGATCACAGAGTACAGTTTGGGACCCTACGGGGGTTCAACCCAGAACATTCAGTTCACATGGCTTGTCCGTTGACCTACCAATCACTGGGATGGAATTCATTGGCTGAACCATAGATTCTAATCTTCATTGAATCTAGATATCCAGCGATCTAGGATGGGACAACTATCCAATACTTGTTGATTTTTAGTGGTTCTTTAACTTATGTCATTTCGTTATCCAACTTGTGGTCTACCAGGTCCCCGCAGATCAACACTCAAAAAATGTATATGTAGATACGCATTGCTGATGAGTGCCAACTAGCACGAAACCTAGGTCCAAGGCTTCCTGCCGATTGCCTCCAACCATCAAATACCAACAATTCACAGTGCACCGTAATGGCGAGCCACCTAGCATGGTGGCCACATTGCAAACATGACTGATAGAATTCAGTCTGCACCGAAGATAGAACTAGACGCATTACACTAGTTACTGACTAGTGTGCAATCAAAAACATATCTAATACAGTCCTACAGGAGGTCAGTCGCTAGCCTGAATAGCTAGCTCAGTGGTAACGTCTCTGACTGCAGCACCGGGTGACGCGGGTTCGAATCTCAGAAGGGACATCAGTTCCTTCAAGTTTGCAGATACGCCTTGCTGCCAACTAGCACGAAACCTACGTCCAAGGCTTCCTGTGGCCGATTGCCTCCAACCATCTAATGTATATGTATGCATATATAAAGTAATTCTTGAATTCTCAAATGTCTAAATTCAGAGTGTGAAACCGCTTTTCGAAATTATGATAATGTGTAAGACCTTGAATGCCACACTGTCACACTGAAAATATATCTTGAATAAATTGGAGAATGAGCTGATTTTTACGAGTTTGACCACGGATTGATATCAGTTAGAGAGAGAACCATTGAAAACCAGCTTTGGGGAGTGCTGGATAGTCAGCTGTTTCATCCTAGTTTGGGAATCATCGGCACTACACACACACTCACTACAGGAGGTTCGAACCCAGAACCTTTCGGTTACAATGCAAGCGAACTCGTATACCATTTAGCCACTGGGACCAGCTGGATTAAATTCCAAGTCCATGAATTCTAACTTCTACCAATTCGTTTTTTAGCTTGACCATCAACCAGTGTCATCGGTGGGACATCCATCCTTACACTTGACTGGATTACACTTCAGTAGCATCAATATAACAATACACTGAATATCGGAAAACTTAGCAAAAATAAAAATAATACTAATTCATGAACTCATAGTCTTACAATCTGAAGGCTGGCCAGGGTAGTACTAGTGTCTGGAATTTCTTCTTCTGCACACAGAGCACCAGTTGTTTCAGGTTACTGGCGATAGCCTCTGCTGTTCGGACTGTAAAGTATCCAGGTTAAAAGGTAAGTCGTAAAGTACAACCTGGTTTTCAATGGTTCTCTAAACGATATCCCTACAAACCCACTGTTGAAAGTTAATGTTAATGCTCGCTATTGACTTGCTACAAGATGGAGTTTCAAGTGAGAAGTCGTGAGTAGTAAGGTCCATCTAGTCGGGAGTAAGAATAGATTTCCCACCAGTCACGAATTGGTAGAAGTTAGAATTCATGGACCGGGCACTGAATCGGGCAGGTCACAGTGGCTTAGCGGTCTACGAACTCACTAGTCTTGTAACCAGAAGGTCCTGGGTTCTATCCCCCTTGCTAGGTAATGCGGGTTCGAATCTCAGAAGGGATGTTGTAGATACGCCTTCTTGACTGGTGAGTGCCAAATAGCACGAAATCTAGGTCAGGCGAGGCTTCCTGTGGCCAATTGCCTCCAACCATCAAATACTAACAATTCACAGTCCACCGTGATGGCGAGCCACCCGTAGCGTGGCGGCTACATTGCAAACTTGACTGATAGAATTCAGTCTGCACCGAAGATAGGAATAGACACATTACACTAGTTACTGACTAGTATCTAATCAATAAAGAAGATTATTTATTATTATTATTATTATTATTATTATTATTATAAGCAGATGAGGTCTAGAAGTGCATCAATCAGGTATAGAAATCGCCGTTACCATGGAACCATTCATGCACAATTATTATGAATCAATAAATAAATTTCTGGGTTAAAAAATGAAACAAAATAAATATAAGGATCATTATATATATATATATATATATATATATATATATAATACTGCCTACTATCGCCAATGATTTTCCTGATTGCAGTAGGTTGGATAATTCGACAAACAGTGGGCAATGAGGAAACAGGCATAAAATGGACTCACACAAACGACTTGGAGGATCTGGACTTCGCCGATGATATATGTCTGATTTCCCACAAACTGGAAGACATGCAAGCGAAATGTAACAAGTTGGCAGAAGAAGCATCAAAGATAGGCCTTCAGGTGAACATAGAGAAAACAGAGGTGATGAAGATTCCCGGCCTACAGCGACAGCCAGAGAAACAACAACAGACAGCAATCAGAATAAATGGGAGGAACCTGAAAGAAACAACCTCCTTTACCTACCTGGGAAGCATCGTTTCAACTACAGTCGGGCGGAACTGACGAGGATATCAAAGCAAGAATCGGAAAAGCAAGACAAGCTTTCACTACTCTCAAGTCTGTGTGGAGGTCAACAACACTCAGCATCAAAAAATAAGATCAAGATTTTCAACTCCAATGTGAAGTCAGTCACTGCTACTATACGGATCAGAGACTTGCACTGCGCGTCATAAAGAGCATCTCAAACAAACTACAGACCTTCATTAACAGTTGTCTTCGCTCAATACTCAAGATCAAATGGCCGGCCAGAAAAGATCAGCAACAGAGATCTCTGGGAGCGAACCAACCCGACAGGAACCGATTGTGAAACAAATAGACAGGAAGAAATGGAGGTAGGTGGATTGGCCATACTCTCAGGAAACCATCAAGTGACATCACTAGACAAGCCATTGCTCGAGTGGAACCCGAAAGGGAAGCGGCGAGTTGATCGTCAGTGCAAGGGTGACTTGGAGGAGGTCATGTGAAGAGGAGATGAAAACGTGTGAGCAGACTTGGAGCCAGGTGAAGACTCTAGCAGAGAACTGAACGCAATGGAGACGCACGGCTGAAGCCCTATGTTCCTCTAGGAATTAAAGGAAACAATAATAATACTAATAGAATACTGTGAAACGAGCCTGATGCGCAGTGGTAGAATACTCGTCAACCACGCAGGTGGTTCAGGGTTCGATGTCTGGCCGACGACGCACTCCTTTACCTTGCTAAGCCAGTAATGAGAATGAGGCATGAGGCTGGCTAGAAACCCCATCCCGTTAAAACAAATACCGCTGCTACTGGAAAAACTTCAGGCCTCTAGCTTGAAGCCCTTTATTCCACTGGACACATAAAGGAATCAAAAAATAATGATAATAGTAATAATGATAATAATACTGTGAAGTGTAGACTAACCTGTATTTCTGTTGAATTCAGCGTAGCTCGTAAATGAGCTATTTCTCTATCTTTTATATCAGATCTTTCACGTTCATTCGATAGATCTGCATCTTTGTCTTCTAAATCTACCTTACAATTTGTTAATTTATTTTCACTTGTTTCCCAACGGATTCTCCAACTTTCAGCTTCTTCATTTGCTGTTCTCAACTGATCAATTAATTTATTACATTCACTATCACGCTCGGTTAATACACGTTCTAGTCGGGATAATTCATTTAAGTAGTCTTTAATTCTTTGTTTTAATTCATCTCTTTCTTCACCCGCATCCTATGAAATGTACATAAAGAAGTATGGGATTTAAATAATTCTAGTAATAATTGTCAATTACTTTTTTTAATGTGTTAGTTTCTGACAGTTTGACGAGTTTCAAGTTAGATTATGAAACAGCGCACCTCGTATTATGAAAGTTTATGGTGCCTATTGGTGAAGAGAGATCCGAAATAGGACGAAGTACCTGTCAAGTTCTTTCTGGTGTTCAATAGTTCTCTAAGCCATGTCATTTTGCGATTATTATTGTTATTAGTATTAGTATTATTATTCCCTTGAGTTCCGAGTGTTAAATACGGCTTAAACAAAATGTTTTCACTTTGATATGGGAATAAAACTTGTTCACTGCGGTAGAGTATAATTCCATTGTGGATTAAATTTATATTGATAAAGTCTCACAGTGTTATACAGTAATATAAAATAAAATGAACAGAAGAAGGTAAACTGCACTGCACACTGGCATTTATAAAAAGCCAACGCATTCTGTTAATAGATATTTAGACTTTAATTCATCTCATCCATTAACTGTTAAGGCAGGCTTAGTTAAGTGTCTGTCTAACAAACACAGCAGTAGCACTAAATAGTAAAAGAAAAGACCTAAATGATGAAATAAAACAGATCGAAGAAGAAGCGTTTGTGTTAAATAAGTATCCTATAAAATTCATTAGGAAGATCAGAAAAGGCCAAAGGCAGAATAAAAATAATGGTGAAACTAATAATGAAAACATGAATTAGAATGAATATAAGTCATCCACTCTTATACCATATAAGGAGGGGACATCTGAGGCCCTGTGTAGGATTCACAATAAAGCAGGAATTATAGTGGTGTAATTCAAACCTACAAACTCACTCAGGTAGGACAAGCTCTGTAGGTTAAAGGACCCTGTTGACCCAAAATAATGTAATTTACAAAATACCTTTCAGTGACTGTGAGTGAGGTAAACTACATAGGTCAAACTAGTAGATCGGGGGTAGTCAGACTATCGGAACATAAGAATTTCAATAAGTTGAGAATGGTTGACCCCGAGAAGATAAGTAATTTAGAAAAAACGTCACTAGCAATTGCACTGCATGCATTAACACACAACCACACAAAAGGGTGGGCGGGAGAGGGTTGAAATTCTAAGAAGTAATATAGGTAGGTGGAGAGAGATTGATTACTGAATCCTGGTTCATCGAGTCTACAACCAACACGTGCAATGAGAGAATGACTCATCACTCATACAGGAAATATGGAAAATACTACTACCAATCAAGTCAAGCGATGGAAAATAATGGAATTACATGAACGAAGTTAGAAAGTTGTGTGAGTGACTCGATATGATTATGAGCAATAAATTGTGCTCGAAACGTCATCAGTAAATATTACTGTATAACACTGTGAGACTTTATCAAAATAAATTTTACCCATAAGGGACATTTCCACTTTGTTCTATTTTCTGCTGTCCTCTTCATCTGGCTAGCTCCACGATTGCCCATAAGCTTGCATCTCCTCTTCGCTGCACGATATCCTCCCATGGCATCCTCATATTGACGACTCATTCATCGTTTCCCTTTGGGATTCCACTCGAGCAATGGCCTGGTTAACGCACGATGTATTCCGATGGTCTCCCCAACGTTGCCTAATCCATCTCCATTTTCTCCTACATATTTGTTGAGCAATCTGCTCTTGGTTGGTTTGTTCCCAGCCAGAGCTTCTTCTTGCTAATTCTTTTTAGCCAGCCGGCCATTTGATCTTCAGTATGGAGCCAGTGAAGCGGCCAGCTGTTGATAAAAGTTTGTAACTTGTTGGAAATGCTTCTCGTGATGCGCACTGCAAGTTTCTGACCAGTATAGAACTGACTGACTCACTTCACATTGGTATTGAAAATCCGAATCTTTTTCTTTATGCTGGTTGAGGGAAGTAGAAGATTTCCAAACTGGATTCAGGTTGGTTAAGGCGTATCTTGCCTTTCCGATTCTGTCTGGCCAGCTTTGACATCTTCATCCGTTCCGACTGCCTGTGGTTGAAACGATGCTGGTTGCCTAGATAAGTGAAGGAGGTAACCTCTGTCAAATCTCTCCCGTTGATAGTGATTGGTGCTGCTTGTTGTTGTTGTTGCTGTTCGCTGGTTATCTTCATCACCTCTGTCTTCTCAATGTTCACCTGCAGTCCTGTTTTTACTGCCAGTTTGTTGGCTTTCACCTGCAATTCTTCGAATCGGTATGATGCTAAACATATATCATGCACGCGCGAAATCCAGATATTCAAGAGTCTTCTTATCGTTCAAACGTATTCCTCTCTACTTCGTAATATAGCTTGAAATTAATCACATCCGTGAAAAGTTCAACTCCCCCCCAACGTGAAACCTAAATCTTGCCTACTTTATTAACCAGAAATAAAACTGACAGTTGTCATCCCACGTGCTACATACACTGCATAAATGAATCTTTTGTAATCATTGGATAGGAAGTATCCTTTCAATTCCAATCTAGTTTTCAATGTTGATATAAATTTGCAGAAAAACTATATACTACTGATTGACTGAAATGAGTAGTTGGATAACACCCACACCAAATGGTACTGCTTCTTAGCCATCCAGTCAAAGTTGTCTAAACACCAGACGGTCATTTCTGTCTTTTGCGGCTAGGCTTATCAATGATGAACCAGAGTTGGCTCAATTGAGAGAAGCGGATCAGCCCAAACCACCGGATCCCTGACTAGCTATTTGGGTGAACTAGTAATTCCATAAACTAAATTCACAATTTGCAAATTAATTTGTTTAGATCACTTATATCTGGCTGGGAAGCAAGCACTACTGGTCGATATGAATAGTACTCAACTATTCATCTCAATCAATCAGTAGTATATACACCTTTTGCAAAATTATGCTTACAGTCTCTTGATCACCCTTCATGGCATCAAGCAGATCATACACTGGGATCTTAATGATTCTGGTTTCCAAAGGAAACTATATTGAAATTTCACTTCCTAGAACTGTGTCAACTGTAAATTAAATTGTAGATCGTGAGTACAAATATAAATACATCCCAAAAGGGATATGAGTATTATATTCATTCTTCATTAGTTAGGGTGGCGTTAAGGCCAGTCTAGTCACCAGGTTAGATTGGGTCATGCCAAAGATCAGGCAACTGTGTAGCTAAAGCTGGGATCTACTAGGACAAGTGACTAACACAACATTCATCAATGTTATTACTAGTTGGGGTTAACAATCCAATCAAACAAGCTCCCTACAAAACCAATACTTGAAAATTAATCTGATGCTCACTAACGACTGGTCCTATTCAAGCAGTTAACCTGGGATTCTAGTGGGAAGCCGTGACCAGTAGGGTGCTGCAGGTTGAAGGTGAGGCAGTAACTCATCGAAGAAGACATTGCGAAGTGGTCGCGCTATGTCGTGGATAGGCAGAAGTTAGAATTCATGGGCTGGCCACTGAACTGGCGGGTCCCAGTGGCTTAGTGGTCTGCGAGCTAGCTCGCTAGCCTTGTAACCAGAAGGTCCTGGGTTCGAACCCTGGTTGATGCGTGCTGTTAAAGAGTCCCAAACTAGGCTGACGAAACGGCTGTCTGGCAGTACTCCCAGGTGGTTTTCCAATGGTTCTGTAAGTGATGTCAGCTCATGATGTAATCCTCCAAAGAATCAAACAAATCCCTACAAAACCAATACTTGAAAAAAACAGAACAACTCGCAGATATTCAAGTAGTGTAAATTACTAGCCACCTAGAACTGATAAGCCTACTAGAAGTTATACTTTCGGCTCGTACTCTTCATAACACACTGTCCTTGAAAATATTTAATTCTATTGTATAGTAATGTAGACAAATATTTGTGAGTAATTATCAGTTTTTCATCAGTCATTCAGCTTTTTTCATTTTTTGGTTTCTATGTAGGACATAGGACATCAGGCTTTTGCGTTTCAGTAGCAATGGTGTTATGTTCTTTTACAGGATAGATTTGATTCTCTAACTGATGTCAGCTCATGATGAAATCCTCCAACTAGTCAAACAAAATCCCTACTAAAATCAATACTTGAATATCAATGAGATGCTCACTAGCGACTGGCCCCATTGAGGCAGGTATTTACCTGAGGTTCTAGTGGGAAGTCGTGATCAGTAGGGTACAGCAGGACGGGTGTGAGGACAAATACTCGCTGCCGGTGACATTGGCTACTGCCAGTCGCGCTGTATTGTAAATTGGAAGAAGTTGGAATTCATGGGCTGGCCGTTGGATCGGGTCCCAGTGGCTGAATGGTCTACGAGCTCGCCTTGTAACCAGTAGGTCGCAGGTTCACACCCCAGTGGCTGAGTGCTGATGAAGAGTCCCAAACTAGGCTGGCGAAATAGCTGGCTGTCCAGTACTCCTAGGTGGCTTTCCAATGGTTCTCTGACCGATGTCAGTTCATGATGAAATCCCCCAACCAATCAAACAAAACCAGTACTTGAAGATTCGACAGTCTCACACCAAACGTCCCCTCCTTTTATGGCTTGCCATCGGCCGGTAAACTAGGTGAGATTTAATAATACATCAACCGAGAATCGAATATAGACCACTTGCGTAACTGCTAGGCCTCTTACCATTAAACAACTAATACACCATTCCATTAACTATGCTGTTCCAATATAAAAGGAAAAGCCTTACCTGTAATTCTGTTTGTAATGTTTGCGACTCACGTGCCATATGATTTAAATCTTCTCTTAGCCTTGTTGTCTCTCGTTGTTCAGCTTCTAATAATCGACGTGTTTCTGTTAAACTTGTCTGCAGTGAATTTAACTCATTCCTGGCAGCTGACAACTCTGTATTACGTGTTGTCAGTGTTTCTTGTGTACGTGAATTCGTGCGTAGAACTTCTTCATGTGCTGAACGAAGTTCGTGTATTTCACGTACTCTTCCTGATAAGTCAACTTCAGTATGTGATAGCCTTTGAGCTGTTTCTTTTAAATTTATCTGAATAAAAAAGGATGGAAGGTTATTTTATTTTTATTTTTTTAAATTATTTAAAGAAACATGGAATACTGGAACATGAGACTGATAAAACGTAAATTAAAGGTTGGATCTTCACTGGTCAGCGGAGAGATGACAGTTGCAAAATAGAAATCTTCTAAATATACATTTTAGGATAAACAGTTCAAATTTCAATCACCTCAGTTATGTGCAGTACACGAATATGAAGACCGCTGAAATGATTCGATGAGATGCGAATCTGTTTTTCCTTCACGTTCCCCAGTGGAGTATGGGGCTTCAAGCTACAGGTTTGAAGTTTCTGTTGCATTTTTTACTTTGACAGGATGGGGCCGCTAGCCTCATGCCCAAACATCAATCTTTGCCGGTTCTATTACTGGCTTAGCGAGGTAAAGATGTGAGTCGGCCGGAGATCGAACTCCGGGCCATGTGCGTGGTCGGCGAGGGTCCTAACCGCTATGCCACCGGTGCGAACACTATCACTTTGTTCACTGAGTGGCTACCGTCACCTAAATGCAGGAAAATAGAGCTTAGGATGGCGTTTAATTATACTTCACCAAAAAAATATACTGGAGGTGTCCAGTGACACGTTGGCTAAGCTGTCTAGAAGTACACACAGCATGATCGTCTCCAAAACAGCAGTTGAAATGATAAGTACACTTAGATGTAACGAAACTAACTAGCTTGTCCATCGTTTGAGTCACAGTTATTCACGGGCTGAAAGATATGCGTCGGTGGCACAACGGTTAGGACGCTCGCAGACCGTGCACATGATCCGGGGTTCGATCCCCGGCCGACTCACTCCTGTACCTCGCTAAGCCAGTAATAGAACTGGCAAAGAGGGAAGGTTGGGCATGAGGCTAGCAGTCCCATCCTGTAAAAATAAAAACACTGCTATAGAAACTTCAAGCCTGGAGCTTGAAGCCCTATTTTCTACTGGGAATATTAAGGAATAAAAAAATATACATGCTTACTGGAAATCTGCAGGAAGATACATCTATGACCTTAAAGGAGATGACATCCCTTAGTATATATTTGACCCTGCAACACCCATCACAGTAATCATAAGTTACATTATCGATGGGCTGTTGAATCAGTGACTGGTTCTGTCTATGAACTCAATGGATACACTAAGTACCCCTTAGGGAAAAAGATTATATATATATACATGGTGATTATTCCCTTGAGTTCCTAGTTGAACACAGGGTTTCAACAACACATCTCAACTTTGTTCTGTTTTCTGCCATCCTCTTCAGCCGGGTCCACGATTGACCAAACTCTCTCATCTCTTCCTCACACGATCTCCTCCATGTCAATCTCACATTGATGACCCACTCGTCACTTTCCATTGGGATTCCACTCGAGCGATGGCCTGCATTCCGCGCGATGTCATTCGATGGCATCCTCAATGTATGCCCGATCCATCTCCATTTTCTCCTACATATTTGTTGAAAGATCGGATATTGGTTGGTTTGCTGGAGGCTAGAGTTTCTTGATGCTAATACCTTCTGATTGGCCATTTGATCTTCATAGTGGAGCCTGCGAAGGCGGCAGCTGTTGATAAAAGTCTGTAACTTGTTAGAAATGCTTCTCGTGATGGCACTGCAAGTGTCTGATCTGTATAGAAGAACTGACTGACTCACTTAACATTAGTGCTGAAAACCCGAATCTTGTTCTTTATGCTGACTGAGGGACAGCAGAAGATTTTCAAACTGGTTTCAGGTTGGTGAAGGCTTATCTTGCCTTTCCTAACCTGTCTGGATTTCAAATCTTCATCCGTCCAACCTGTGGTTGAAACGATTCCTGGGTGCGTAGATAAGTGGAGGAGGTAACCTTTGTCAAATCTCTCCTGTTGATGGTGACTGGTGCTGGTTGTTGTTGTTGTCGCTATATTCACCTGGAGTCCTGTCTTCGCTGCCTGCCTTTTCAGCCAGTTTGTTGGCTTTCGTCTGCAGTTCTTCGAGTTTGTGTGATACTAAACATAAATCATCCACACGTGAAATCCACATCTTCTAGAGTCTTCTTATCAGTCAGTTCAGAATATTCCTGTCTTCTCACTACCAATGCACAGTCTGACGCATAATCCAGTCCACCACAATTAAGAATATCATCGGTGATAATAGGCATTTAGCTTGTCTTAATCTTGTATGCACTTCTAATGCCTCGCTGAGTTTTCCGTTGTAGATCACCTGACACGTGACATTGTCATATAGGCAGCTGTTGAATGAGGTTGATAACGATTTGGGCATTGCACACCACCGCAGTGTTGAAGTATTTTCCGAATCACTTCTCGGTCAACGGTGTCTGTCGAAGGCCTTTGCGAAGTCGATGAAGTTGAGGAAGAGAGAGGTTTGACTGACATTCTGTGCTTTCTTCTGTGATGACGATGCGTAGAGTCGCGATTTGATCAGCACATGATTTGACTTTCCTGAATCCAGCCAGCTTGTTCTGGTGGGGCTGGTGGAGTTCTGTATCCAGTGCATTCTTTATCCTCTCCAGGGTGATGCGACTTAGTATGTTACTTGGCGTGGTGACATCAAAATCCTCATAGGCGATATGAACGCCAAACTGGGACTTGGTGATACAGGAAGAGAACTCATTATGAGTCGAGAAGCTCTCAGTCGGAGAAATGAATGAGAATGGAGAATTATTCGCAGACTCCTGCGCTTCCAATAACAATTTGGTGATTGAAGGCAGCGTGTACAAGCACAAGAATATCCACAAATCAAAGTAAAACGATGGGTTTTCAAATGTTGGTTTACAGGGATGTGATTGGCTTCAAGTTAGAAAACCATTCGAAATCAAGGAGTACTAGTCAGCTATTTCATACTTAGCCATAACCCCACGGGGGTTCTAACCTAGGATCTTCAGTTTACTAGGTGAGCTCTTTCAACCGTTTAGCCACTGGAACGGAGCCCAAAATGTCATCTGCTTGATGGCGGCTAGTAGTGAAATGTAGGATGTGTCATTCTTCCTATTTGGTACTCGTAAAACGGCTAGGCATACCTACTCAGTGATGTCAAATCCAGCAGGTATTGTTTAAAAAGCTAAAATATCATCCGTTAGGTCATTGGGTCATGTAAGTCTTCAGGCACTGAAGCATCTGCACTAACCGGGTGACAGATGAACAGTCACCGAGCATTTTGGTCAAATATGATCGATCAACGGGAAATACAAAGGTGGAAGTGGAGCAATAAGAAGCGCGATCATTGAACATCTGGTCGATAATGATCACCCTATCTCTATAGCATCCGCCTTTAAAGTCATCTACAAGGCAAAAAGTAATTTACCCAAATCACTACGTACCCGACTCATCTGTATTGCTGAAGCTTTGGCTATCGAAACAGAAAAGCCAGATCTCTGTGTACAGAAAAAGTTCGTTCAACCCCTTCAACTCTCATGGTCTTAATCCCTCTATGCTAAAGTATGGTAATCCCCAATCATATTTTAGCTCTACCAATTTTTCATTTTTGTCTATTCAATTTCCTTATTACGTCAATTGTTACTATTACTACTCTCACTTTTAATTGTGCCCGGTATTATTTCACTTGTTCCACTTGTCATTCTAAATCAATTCCTTTTTACAATATTAAATTCTATGCTATCAAATTTCACACGATGTTACGTAACGTTTTATTTTATTCGATTTGTCTACTAATCTTATAATTGCACACCCTTTTCAAGTTCTATCCATCCTATGAATTATTCTACAATATGACATTAATTTGTTTTGTCACTTGACGTTTAACTATGATTATAATCACAAACATTTTAGTTTTAATTGCATTTCATATTATTAATATTATTATTTTATGCATTCACACCTATGATTTAATTCCCTCACCGGATATAACTTCATTATGGGTAAGATTTTATTTTGATAAATCACACAGTGTTACACAGTAATATTAACTGATGACGTTTCGAGCACAAATTATTGCTCATAATCATATCAAGTTACTCACACAACTTTTTCCTTCATTTATATATAAATATAACTTCTTAAAAACCATATATATACGATTGTACAGCTTGATGATAAATTCGTTGAAAAGAGTCTCTTCGCTGAATCATTTGTTTTGATTTTCTATATGTTACAATGGGAATTTTCCATGATTTTTGAAAAATAAACAATTACCTCGATATTTTGTTTCTCCTCTTCTAATATTTCCATTCGTGCTCTCAATTGACTATAATCATCTCTTTCAACACGTAATTCTCTTTCTAACTGTACAACACGTGTTTCAGCTTTATGCAGTTGATCTTCAACAAGACGTAGACGTGAACTCCAATCATTGGCATCTCTTTCAGCGGTTTCTGATCTTCTACGACATAATTCTAATTGTTGTTGAACATCAGCAAGAGTATTTCTTTCTGCCTGTTTTACATTAAAAATGAAACAAAAATATATAAATATATATATATTCAAGAAAGCGAGACTTCGTAAAGTGAAACTAAACCAGCTTATTTCATAAATTTAATCATAGTTCTGTGGCCATAAACACTCTAAACTCTGAATCCAGCATCCTGAGTTCCAGTCTCGGCGAGGCCTAGAGCCAAGCACTCTGTGTTTCAGTGGTTCAGTGAAAGAATCCTTGGCAGAAACACAGGTTGTCTGGAGCTGGATTTCTGGCCGACACATTCAAAAACCTCACCTAGTTGGGTAACAGGCAACTAACCCCACATGGTAAAACCAACGCCACAGCTACTGATACTTCAAAGATTCCGGTGCAGACGTTCTACCATACCATTAGCTTGAGGATGGTAGGCTGTTGTTCTAAAACGCAGGCAACCTATGATTTTAGTCAAGGCGAAGAATAAGCCGCTTTCGAATTGCCACCCGCGATCAGTTGTTATGGAGGATAGGCATCCAAAGTTTGCGATCCATCTTTCCACAAAGACGCGTGCGACTGTTTCAACAGATACATCCTTGAGGGGTACTGCTTCAGGCCATCGTGTGAAACGGTCGATGCAGGTTAAGATATAGGTATATCCATGAGATTCTGGAAGAGGTACAACCAAATCTACATCAATGTGTTCGAAACGAGCATCAGGGATAAGAAAGGTGCCAAGAGGGCTTTTGGTGTGTCTTACTGCCTTGCACTTTTGACAAGCTAAGCACATGTGTGCCCTTACTTCTTTATTAATACCAGGCCAACAAAACCGACTAGTTACGAGCTTGAAGGTAGTTCGAATAGCTGGGTGGGATAAGCCATGCAACGTATTGAAGACGTTACGGTGTTAACTTTTAGGTACGATGGGGCCAGGAGTACTCATGGAAATGTCATATAGAATGCCTAAGGCTTCTTGGATAATTGCAGTATTGTTTTCGACAACTCATGTTAAAGCTCGGTATCTTCTTTTTGAAGACGAGCCAGTTTCACAAGGTCTTTGCCGTCTATTTGGGTGAAGGAACAAATGCGTGACAAGGCATCTGCCACAGTGTTGTTCACTCCGGACACATGGCGAATATCAGATGTAAACTGTGAAACGTAATCCAGCTGTCGTGATTCCCTAGGTGAATACTTATCTGAAGTTGAGTTCAGAGAGTACGTCAGAGGTTTGTGGTCAGTGAAAATTATAAATTCACGACCCTCCACTGAATGTCGAAAATGACGTATAGCACAGTACATAGCCAGAAGTTCTCTGCCGAATGTGCTGTACTTCGTTTCTGCTAATTGGAGGCGCCTCGAGAAAAAGGCGAGTGGTTGCCACTCTTTGTTAACTAGTTGTTGCAGAACTGCGCTGATTTCAGTGTCTGATGCATCAACCGAGATACTTAACGGTGCCGTTGGATCCTGATACATGAGAAGTGTGGCATCCGCAATAGCTTTTTTTAACCTGAGTGAAAGCATTTTGAGTAGATGGACTTCTTATTTCCTCGAAGAAGGTCTTTTAGTGGCTGAATCAGAGAAGCACACTTGGCAATAAACCGTCAGTAATAACTTACCAAGCCGTTAAAAGTGCACAGACTTTTCACTGTCTATGGCTCTGGAAAGTTCAGTACCGCCTCAACTTTACTAGTCAGTAGGTGAATACCCTTGCAGTCAATGGTGTGGCCCAGAAAGTCGAGTGAGTCAACGCCTATCTGACACTTTTGAATATTAATGGTAACACCATGTCGGCGTAACCTTTCGAATGCCAAGTCCAAGTGTCTAAGGTGAGTTTCCTTGTCTGGACTGACAATGAGGCAGTCGTCTAAGTATGCGTTACGTATACAAAGTCGAGACCGCGAAGTCTTCAAAGACTTCTGCCCTATTTTCCACTCGGAACTCAAGGAATGGAAAAACTATCTTCATATTTTGATTAGTATAAAGTACATTGGTCACACGCTAAAAATGTATTGACTTCATCTTATCTAGTTGGTTAAATTTGACAAGCATGGTAAGTAGCACGATGTTGGATGTAAGCTTGAAAAGGTGTGGAAAGAAGTAGATGTTTTGTTATTTTTGTATTTTGACAATAAGCATTTGAGTCCTTTGATTGGACACTAGTAACTAGTGTGACGTGTCTAGTCCTTTCTTTGGTGCAGACTGAATTCTATCAGTCAGTCAGGTTTGCAATGTGGCCACCATTCTAGGTAGCTCACCATCACCATGCACACTGATATCTAATATCATCAAATCAATGTGCACCGTGATGGGCGTAAAAGACACTGGCTTTTCTGATTGGTTGTCTCAAGGGCACTGTACACTTACATTGGTTGGGTCGTTATTACTTAACATCGCCACTGATGATATTGAGTCTTTATTGACGAGTAATTTCATTATGCAGTTGTAAAAGCTTGATAAGATAATACTGGAAACATGTATTTGCATAAATTATGTTCAGTAATTATTATAATGGGAGTATATTTAAATGATGTATATATGTATGGACAAGTTAAACTTTAAGCACCAATAACTACCAGTGGAGCGCGACCGCACCAATGACCTTGAATGGACCAATCAGTTCCTTCAAGTAAATTCAAGCTTCTATTACGCCTAATTCGAGTAAAAAGCCTGCTGTGAATCAATTACCTCTGAAATCTGATGATGTAGGTGGGCTTGATTAGAGAAAAGAAAAGATTAGTTCATGTGGAGGTATCATGAGTATAAAAGGCTTCAGTAGACCGATTGGACCGATGGATATGTTCATCCTTTTGGAATTTGTTTGAGACAAGTTGGCATGAGGGGAGGTAAGCTGATGATTATACTCTTTTTGTAGGAACATCTTTTTGCTAGATCCCATCTTTCACTAACCCAGATTTTGTATATTTGTTGTTACTGAGTTTCAAAATAGGCTGTGAGATTTGCAGTTGTTGAAACAAAACATAGTCGCATTTCAGCCGTTCACTGGTACCAGAACTGCAGATAAATCACATCTTGAAGGCAGAGGAGACTTACTTCTTTATTAGGAGGTGACGGCGTCACTATACATAGAAACGAAACAGTCTTATTAAAAAGTAAATACAACTGTGTCCCTGAATTAGCCAGTAACGTTTGGGTAATTGGATTATACGATAACTCTCTAAGGAATGGATTCGTCGAGAGAATAACGGACAGAAAGTCGACTACTTCAATACTCATTATCACTCGATTGGTCAAACGAGGATCTACAAAACGCAGATGAGCGGAAATGATAAACCTCCTTATCATCCCTGGGATATATCAGCAATAGAGTACACCGAACAATGGATTTTTTGGACCCTGTCGAAGGTTCTTGGAGAAGGTTGAAAAAGGAGTTAGACCCATTAATGGATCGCAATAAGATGTCATATGCAGTCATTTAGATGAATACATGTATAGGATGTCGTGTAACTTTGATATTGGTACTCCTATGCTAAACTGGGAGTCGCTTTCATGAAATGTGAAAAAAATTTAAAATCTGTAGCACTTTCCTACGGTTTCTTTGCATTTTCTCCCATAAATATATGTATTTCATACCCAAAAGTCCCCTTTTTCATGTGATTGGTGCGTTCAAGGTCACTCGCCGATTGGTAGTTTGTGTTGCTTAAAGTTTAATTTTGTCACAGGCATAAATAAATACAAATATAATTCCTTGATAATATTCTACTTAAATATATATAACTTACTCGTAGTGCTTCAGCGTTACGTTTTACTTCTAAATCAAGCTTTTTATTTTCAGCGTCTAATTCAATATTACGTTCATGTAAACCATTGGAACGTTGAACTAAATCTTCACGTTCTCTTAATGCTTGTCTATGCGCTGAACTCATTTCTTCAATACACGATTCCAAGTGTACTTTATCTTTATTGGCTAATTCAACTGTTGCCTAAAATATTTCAAATACAAAAACAAAAATTAGAACGAAACGTTTCAGTGCATGTCGTGTAAAAAAGGTATTCTTAAAGTCATCAAAATGCTTCCTCATTAAAAACTAGAAGCGCTTTTCATCACAATTTCAGAGGAAATAGTCTCAGTGCATACATATTTATTTAACGTCACTGTTGGGCATTCTCTTATTATTATTATTTTTTACGACTTGATCACGGATTGATATCAGTTAGAGAAACATTGAAAATCAGCACTGGATTTCTGGATAGTCAGCTGTTTCATCCTAGTTTGTGAATCATCGGCAGTACGCACCCACCACAGAGGGTTCGAACCCAGGACCTGCCGGTTACAAGGAAAGCTGGTACACCATTCACTCATTGGGACCCGATTCAGTGGCTCTAATTTCTACCAATTTGTGATTTAGCGCTTGCTCGCTTGCTTTGTAACCGGAAGGTCCTGGGTTCAAATCCCAGTGGGTGCGTACTGCCGATGATTCCCAAAACTAGGATGAAACAGCTATCCAGTACTCCCCCCAGCTGGTTTTCAATGGTTCTCCAACTGATATCAATCAGTGATCAATTCGTAAAAACATGATTAATCCTTCCAAACCAAACTATATAGAATATTAGTTATCATTATCCATTCCTTGTGTTCTAGGTGTGAAATAGGTCTTCAGCAGCACATCTCGATTCCACTCAGGTCTCTGAAGTGGCTTGCAGCTGACGCCACCACTGCCAACAGGCTTTGATTTCCTCCTCCTCCTCGCCATCGCACAATTTTCTCCAATATCACCCTCGGAAACCCAACCTGTCACTTTCCGTTCAGTTTCCACTAGATGGCCTACGCTTTGTGTGATGCCACACGAAAGTCTACGCAGTGTATATCCAATCTATGTCCATTTTATTCTGAATATATTCGATAGAACAGGTTGTTGAATGGTTTACTGTCGGTTTTTCGTTCCTTATACCTTTGTAGCCACCTGATGTTTAGTACGAGCTAAGGAAACAAGTGTCGGTGAAAGTCTGCAGCCTGCATTCCCTTATTTGATTTTCTGAGCTAATTTTCAACAATAATGTTTGTTTTCGAGTAACCATCAATGAACTTAATGTTTATAGATTTTATTCCTATGTGTGTGGAGAGGGCAGGGGTAAAAGACGGGGTCGTATATATGAACTAGTAAAGAAGGTAAAACTAGAGCAGAACAGTCATCGAACGCTATTTCGTCTCCAATAATAACCTGAAAAATAACGACACGTAACTAAAATTTACGTCGAAGTCTCTGAAATTCGCGAAATTCGTGTCCATTTAAAATTGATCAAGCATCAGCAACCACAAGCCTGTTTGTTGAATTAGCCGATGGGTAACATATGGATGTCTGTGATCAGTTAAAACAATGGATATCCTTTACTGTTGCCACAGGCTTTAACATTGCCCCATAACTAACCAAAGAGCAACTTTAAAGTAAAGGTTTTTCTAGCAACCACATTTATCATATATTTATAAGAAATTCCAGGGGTATTCAAGTATTGGTTTGGTGGGGATTTCGTTGATTGGCTACAGGATTTCATCATGAGCTGCAGCAGGTCGGGTGTGAGGAAAAATACTCGCCGAAGACATTGGCTAGCGGTTGCGCTATATCGTGAATTGGCAGAAGTTAGAATTCGTGGGTTGGCCATTGGATCGGGTCCCAGTGGCTTAATGGTCTACGAGCTCGCTAGCCTTGTAACCAGAAGGTCCTGGGTTCAAACCCCTGTGGTGGGTGTGTACTGATGAAGAGTCTCAAACTGGGCTGGCGAAACAGCTGCCTGGTGGTTTTCCAATGGTTCTCTAACTGATGTCAGCTCATGATGAAATCCTGTAACCGAATTTCATCGGTGTTGACAGTGATGTGTGGAAGAACATCGTTTAATATAGCATTCACTCCTTAGTAGTATGATTACATATAAATGTGACGATTTAAGAAACGACTGATACATTTGCTAATATGGCTTTCACAGACACTTAATTTACTGTTATAACCCACCCAGCTCCTTTCAGAAATGTCGAATGAACATGTCATACACAGATGTTGGTAGGGTAAGACTAGTTACTTGATCATGCAAACTAGAACCTGAACACTTTCTTTTCTGGTGTAGTCGAATAGCCTAAGAATATGTTTTACACATTCAGCCTGTTTGCAATTCTTTGTACCGTCTACATCCCCTATAAGAAAAATATTTTCTAAATTTATATCTACTAAGAATGTCTAGTCAATAGCACTCAGCATCAAAAATAAGATCCGGATTTTCAACTCCAATGTGAAGTCAGTGCCACTCACCATACGGATCAGAGACTTGGTGCCACGTGAGGAAGAATATCTCAAACAAACTATAGACCTTCATTAACAGCTGTTTACGCTCAATACTACTCAAGATCAGATAGCCGGCCATAAAAGATCAGCAACGGAGATCTCTGGGAGCGAACCAACCCAGCAGGAACCGATTGTGAAACAAATAGGCAGGAAGAAATGGAGGTGGATTGGATTGGCCATACTCTGAGGAAACCATCAAGTGACATCAATAGACAAGCCATTGCTCGAGTGGAACCCGACAGGGAAGCGGCGACTTGGTCGTCAGTGCAAGGGTGACATAGAGAAGGAGGTCATGTGAAGAGGAGATGAAAACGTGTGGGCAGACTTGGAGCCAGGTGAAGACTCTAGCAGAGAACCGAACGCAATAGAGACGCACGGCAGAAGCCATATGTTCCTCTAGGAATTAAAGGAAACAATAATAATAAGAATGTATAGTGTGCATCAGTGGAATACTCACTAACCACTGTGGAGGCTCGAGTTCGATTCCTGACTGAATGACTCTGAAACTTGATTAGTCTATAAGAAACCAGCAAAAAAGAGGGAGGTTGGACATGAAACCTGTAGAGCTGCAGGCCTAACATTTCACTCAGGATACAAAGGGATAAAAACAAAATTATAGTGTTCAAAAAGTTTTTCTGTAGGGGTTTGACTTGTATTGGGTTTCATCACGGATGGATATCAGATAGAGGACCGTTGAAAACTAGCTGAGAGTACTGGACAGCTATTTCGTTCTGGTTCATGGTTCATCATAGTACGCATCCACCGGGATCCGAGAGTCCAGAGTCTTCCGCTTATAAGTCAAGCTCGCATACGATTCAGCCACTGGAACCTGACTTTATGACCCATGGATTCTAACTTGAAACAAATGAAATCCCTACAAACTAAGCCTTGAAAATTAATCTGATGCTGGCTATTGACTGACTAATAATGATAATACTACTAATAATAATAACAGTAGTAATAATAGTAATATTAATGACGATATGCATGTCAAACATGCACAGGATAATGACAACACCAACAATAAGGAATCTAAATCGTCACAGTAGTAATTCCAAACAATGAAGAGACCTCGGAAACCTTACGGAGGAGAATTCTTAACAAGGCAGGCAGGAATAAAAGTGGCTGGAATTCAAACCCACTCACAAACTCAATTAGAAACAAGCTTTGTCGGTTAAATGGTGGATCCTGTGGAGCCATTAAAACCAAACAATTTAGTTTATCTAATACCCTGTAATGATTGTTAGGTTGAATACATAAGGTCAAAGTAGCAGAACAAGGCCTGTCAGACTAGTGAAGCAAAACATCCTAGCAGTTGTTTGAGACAATCAAAAGTGGACAAATACCCACCTCATGTTACCTCCAACTGTGTTTACCAATTTACATGTACGTGCCAAAGCACCTACATCGGAAGAACAGAGAGAAGGGTTATTGTCCGCATTTCTGAACACATACCAAAGAACCTGAGAGTGAAAGGTCCACAAGTATTAAACATTGCAATTACGCGTCATCTATTAGACACTGGTCATAATGTAGACAACTTGAAGTCATTCAAAATAATCAACAAGCAAAAGAAACCTAACTTGCTACGCTTTGCTGAAGCAATTGCTATCAGACGACTTAAACCAAATCTATGTACTCAGAAAGAGACGGTGGTGAATCTTGCACTGCCTTGGTGAGAAAATATATACAACAGCTTGTTTGTTTTTGTTTCCAAGCCTAATTGCCTAATTATTCTATAAATATTTATAAACTGTTAAATATTGATCACAGTTCATTTGAATTATTCTATAAATAGTCAGTGTTTGTAACTCTTAATTAGTTAAATCATTCCGGACTAATGTTACTTTTACTTCCTACCAACCAATTACTCCTTGTGATCGTGGAAAATTATGTTCAAATCTTTAATGTAATGTAATTCATATTTTTCATCGTTCAGGTTGTAACCAGTTGAGAAGAATCCTCGAAATAATAAAAGATGAGCTCACATTATCCTGGTACAATTGTTGTTCTTGCTTTGTTCAAGTTTATTAATGGGAAGAATTGCATGAAATCTTGATTAGTTGACCTGAATAAGATAAGAAATCTAGAGAATACTTCAGCCATTGCACTCACTACATGCAATTACACACAACCATAAAATAGGATGAGGTAAGGGAGAGATTGATAACAGAAGCCTTGTTTATCGAATCAACTGAGAATGAATACGTGTAATAGGAATGATTCAACACCTGTCCACCCAGATATCTGGGAAGTTCTACTACCCCAATGGTGAGAAATAGGAGAGGACAAAGGAAACTATCAAACTCAAGTTTCGAAGTTGTGTGATTATAATTGATGAAATGATTATGAACAATAAATTTTGTTCGAAACTTTGTCATCCAGTAAATAATACTGTTTCACTGACTGTGTGATACATCTAATAAACAAACTAATATGGAATATGTAATGACTGACTACAGGATTAAGTCTGAAATTCTAGTAAGAAGTCATGAGTACTGGGATCCATCCGGTCGGCAATAAGGACAAATAATCGCCACGGACAATAGTGGCCGGTGGCTGTGATAAAATCAGTAATTAGAAGAAGTTAGAGTTCGTGGGCTGGCCATTAAGTCGGGTCCCCCAGTGGCTGAATGATCTACGAGCTC